TCACACACACAGCTTCAGTAATCATTAATTCTTATATTACATGGTGAAAAGCAGCAGATAAATACACAAATTCATGTATAAACTGCAAAATGCATTGATTTGAGGCAGGTTAATTGAAATCTTCTGTCAAGATGTATTAATTGGGGGAGAGGAAATCTATATCATTTGTGAATTGTGAACGCTGAAGTTTTGATTGATGAAATTTGTTTTTTACCAATTTAAGTGGACGGTAATTATCAAGATTATTGGGAACGTAATTTAGAAATCGAGCCTGGATTGGAAATGACCTTCTAAAGCTTGGCTGGTTGTTACTAGCTATTTCTTATCCGAGTTAAAGAAGTAGCTAGCTCATAAACAACTTAGGCTCAGCTAGACGAAGAAGCTGGTTTAAGCTCATCGTCTAGTTGGACAAACCAAGCTTGAAGGAGACCAATCTCAGTTCTGCTGGGCTCATGAAGAGCTGTGTGGATGTTATACATAACAACAATAATACATTTTATGTGTGTTAATATACAAAGTATAAGTATCTTTTGACTAATGTATAAAGGGAATGAAATATGCAAACATGTTCAGTGAATTTTTTAATCTAATATATAAGGTGGATCACAGGATGTTTCTCTTGTTGACTATTTTGAAACGTATCATAGAGTTTTAGTCTCTAATTTGTGTTATTATTGTTAAAGGTATTGGTTCCAATCATAAAATTGACAGTGAGATAGTCTACTTGACAAGCTCGCAGTATGGTTTGTGCATCAAGCTTCTGTTTGCAAAATTACTAGTGAACAAAGATTGAATATGTTACTTAGGCTAGGGCAAAATTCAAACATCTTCAAATTTCAAGGAATCAATTATGAACAGTGGTATCTTATCCAGTTCAGAACATTTCCATCCTTGGTCTGCTTTGTTCTGCAACACTAGCTTGGTTCAAGTATCCACCAGAGCTTGAACTGCCTCCTTGAATTTACTATTGCTGCCTGGAGAAACTGGTGCATTTTGAGTTAGTTAAGTAAATCTTTGCAATTGTAAATCATCTTGACATCATTTCTATTGTGGAGAATTGAATTTCATTTGTGTGCTTACTCTGTAAAACTAGGTTCATATCTTTGACGAATGTGGAATCTCATTTGCACAGTTGTGTTATTGTTCTGACCAATGTGTAATTCTTTGATGACTGGCCAGATTAAGAGGGAGATATCCATAATGAAGCTTGTCAGACATCCTTATGTTGTCCGTCTACACGAGGCACGAGCTCAAAATCAAGAGTATAAACTTTTTGTTATAGAAATCTTAAGTTTCCAATATCACTCTAGACTTTTTTGCATGTGGGGAAATTCTCTCTTTGTTGACGTGTTCCTCCTGCTAACTTATATATATTTTGTTAGGTTATAGCAAGCCGGACAAAGATCTACATAATCTTAGAATTCATCACAGGTGGCGAGTTATTTGATAAAATAGTGAGTCTTCTAGCTTAATATCCTGCAGCTTATTGTGGATGCAGTGTATTTACACTAAGCAATGTTCTGCTCTTTTATGTTGAATTGGCTACTGATATCATGCGTTTTTTTATACAGGTTCACCATGGACGACTTAGTGAAGCTGAAGCTCGTAGATACTTCCAACAGCTGATCGATGGTGTGGATTATTGCCACAGTAAAGGAGTATACCACAGAGATTTGAAGGTATTCCATGGCTGATGCCAAAAAAAAATGTGATTATTGTTTCATTTTTGTACTGACTGAATTTTCTTGCTATGTACAGCCTGAAAATCTTTTGCTAGATTCCCAAGGAAATCTGAAAATTTCAGATTTTGGACTTAGTGCATTACCTGAACAAGTAAGATTTCTAGTGGTTATAGTGTGTATTAGAGTCATCAGACTTAACAATGTCGCATTTGATAACACTTTTATCATTGTGTTGTGCGATGCTGTTTGTGATAGGGAGTCAGCCTTCTTCGGACAACTTGTGGAACTCCTAACTATGTTGCACCTGAGGTAATTATTATAGTTCTTGGGCAGAAATGTAAAATAAACATGGGAAATGACATTGTTTTGGTCTCCCACTTTTCCTCCTGCATTAAACTTCTTTTTTCCCATTCTTCACTTTTCTGCTCTAGGTTCTTAGTCACAAGGGTTATGATGGTGCTGTGGCAGATGTTTGGTCATGTGGGGTCATCCTTTATGTGCTGATGGCAGGTTATCTCCCGTTTGATGAGGTTGATCTCACCACGCTGTATGGAAAGGTATTAAACTATCATCATATCTATATCTCATGATACTTTTTGATATCATTTTCATTTGGGACTCCACTTCTCGGGTTTAAACCTCAATTTAAATATGTTTGTCCTGATTATGGACTCAAAATGCATATTTTCTATCTGCATAGGAGTCTGCTTTACATTTCAACATTATCGAAATCTTGCAACTTATGCATCTTCTCTGCAGATTGAGACAGCAGAGTTTTCATGTCCATCTTGGTTTCCAGTTGGAGCAAAATCTTTGATTAATCAAATTCTAGACCCAAACCCTGGGACAGTAAGTATTGTGCGACAATTGTATACTTACTGGATACCATTTTGTACATCCTCCTGGATGCATTTATTTAATATGCTATGTAGAGGAGAGATATGTATGAACTTACCAGATACGTGTATGTACAATTATTTCCTTTACTAACTTGGGCCCAAAATCATAATTCATTCCTAGTAGCAAATTAATTGTGCCAAGTCTACAAAGAATTGATAATAGCAATGAATAAAAACGTTGTAGGTCCCCACCAAAAAAGGTGTGGACCTTGTACATCATAGTCTGGTTCTGCTTTATTTTACCCAACTTTGTTGATTGGGTGCATGGGAAACTGTGAGTGAAGGTAAGCTCCATTCAACCGACTTGCAGCAATTTTGCCTGTAGAAGCTGATCGTTAAGGGTACTTGAAATAGGCTATTGCATAGCAAAAATTCATACCCACTTTTGATGGCTCAATGGAGCCATCAATTGATACTTTAGTACAATATTTCCACATAGCAGTATTTTATGGCACCTAGGAGGGTGTGTTTCACATTTTTGTTGTTCTCATTATTGTCGTTGGTCGATAAAATGAGTAGGATATTGTGACCGTTGATACACCAACATCATACTTCTGATATTTCCATATTATCTTATCTGGAAAATGCATGCCAATACAACTAATGTTTTTTTTATTGACAAGGGATAATAACTTTCTCGCTTTTTCATTCCTCTTTCTTGGTGCAGCGTATTCGGATTGAGGAGATTAGGAATGATGAGTGGTTTAAAAGAGGTTATGATCCTGTCAGACTTCTTGAAAATGAAGATGTTAACCTGGATGATGTGAATGCTGCTTTTGATGATCCTGAGGTTGGTACAGTTTTGAATTGATAATTTCGGTTCATAGAATTTGGTTTTATAGGAAATAGTGGACGTGTTTGTTTCATGCAGTTTGGTAGTGGGCTGGTAAGGCTTTCAGTGCCATTTTACTTTAGTTGCATTTGTTGTTATCTGGAAATGCTTTTTGTGAGGTTGGTGGCAGCTACTTGTTTGTGTCTACTGTCTAGCAATGAAATGCTCGCTCTCAATTTGCATTGGCGGGTTGGAGTTAACCTCCATTCTGAGGTTAATCAATTTAGTCTAAAAACAAAAAGTTTTCATGTTTTGGATGGCCCAAGCTACCCATCTCCTAAAGTTTCCACTGAACTGTTGAAGATAGATGTACGAGAGTAAATTTACGCACAAGTTAACAGCCTTAGCGACCACTTGCACCCATGAAAGCGAAAATTTCAACTGATTGGCATTTTAGTAGGAGATGAGCTGATGATTGCACATCCACGTGAGATTTCACCAAAAAAATACAAACACGCTTGGTTGATACACCAAAAAATTGAATGCTGACAACCTGCTTGGTTGATACAGAAACAGGTATCGAAGTTTGAACCCTCACTATTTTTAGGGAATCATGCTCTACTTGGTGCTCACCGTCTTGGTTCCATTCTCCACTTCAGTTACTAAGTTTTGCTTTATCAGTGGATAGAACACTTGAATGTAGTTGATTTGGGAATTTGATGAAATATAAAGATGACAACTACCATAAAACACATCTATGAAAGGATAAAGTTATCCCTTATTGAAACCATAGNCATTCTCCACTTCAGTTACTAAGTTTTGCTTTATCAGTGGATAGAACACTTGAATGTTGTTGATTTGGGAATTTGATGAAATATAAAGATGACAACTACCATAAAACACATCTATGAAAGGATAAAGTCATCCCTTATTGAAACCATAANAACTACCATAAAACACATCTATGAAAGGATAAAGTTATCCCTTATTGAAACCATAGTTTCTACTTTTACCTTAGCATTCACTATTTACTCTACTTGATATATTTTCAAGGAGGGGTCTCCTTTCGCTAAAATCACGGAGCTTTCACACCAGTTTCTTTGTAAGTATTTGTTGGCTATTATTTTGAAACCTTTTCCTAAAGTTTAATGCACAATGATATCTTGTAGGAAGAACAAGCTAATGAGAGCAGGAGTGAGGATGTGGGGCCTCTTGTTCTTAATGCATTCGACCTAATTATTCTCTCTCAAGGCTTGAACCTTTCATCAATATTTGACCGTGGGCAGGTATATTTTTTTAATTTGTCACCTTATGCCCAGTCAGTGGACGTTCAAGCAGTCTTCTCTTCATCTCAAATATTAACCATTGATAATATATGTTCTTAACATTTTATCTCGATAGTGAGTCAAATATTTTTTGATCTCGATCAGTACAATTTCATCTTCCTTTTCAGCCATATACCATGTTTATGTGTTCCAATATTTAAAAGGAAGTGTTTATATTCAGATGATAATTTATTGTGAATGGATTTGTCATCTCATTGATATATTTCATACATTGTCCCTTCTTGACAGGATTCTGTGAAGCATCAAACACGCTTTGTTTCCCAGAAATCAGCGAACGTTGTTTTATCGAGTATGGAAGTAGTTGCACAATCAATGGGTTTCAAGACACATATTCGTAATTATAAGGTTGAGCAGTTGAACTTGGTAAATTCAGCCAGTTTCCTGATGCAGTACTTAGTCCAATATCCCCAAAAGTTGATCAACTAATGACGTGATACTAAAAACTAAAAAGTCATGTATGTTTTCTGAACTCATTCAAAATTGAAACTCCTTTCAGATGAGGGTGGAGGGTCTCTCAGCCAATAAGACATCTCACTTCTCGATAATTCTGGAAGTAATTTCTCTGCCCTTATCTTCCATGCTCACTAGTCAACCATCCTTTGATTTTAGTTAAATAATCCATTTTCTGAACAGGTGTTTCAAGTTGCCCCCACATTTTTGATGGTAGATATTCAGAAAGCAGCTGGAGATGCTAGTGAATATCTCAAGGTCAGTTGCTCAAATTGTTCTCTTTTCTACCACGTGGTTAAGCTTTAATGCCAAGTAATTTTTCGCATATTTTATTGCCTTCAGTTTTACTACTCACTGTTGCTGCTCGATATCTGTGATTATGATTTGTCCCTTACCTAGTGTAGTAGTGAGAACAAAGGGATTACTTTCTTGGATTCTGATGATCCACACTCGCCTGGTTTTTTTATCTGCTGATGCAGTTTTACAAGAACTTTTGTGGCAATCTTGAGGATATCATATGGAAGCCACCCAGTGAATCCCATAAATCAAGGATTACAAAGACCAATGGTAAAAAGCGTTGAATTTCCACCTTCTAGCATTATCTACTCAAGTTGTGTTCTATACCATGTTGACCTGCGTATTTCGAGATTACTTGTCATATGCCACAATCTTAATCGGTTTCCATATAGTTTACCAAACCCCTATACTTTTTTTCCTTTTTTTCCCCAACCTCTAATCCCATTAGATAGCTATGTTTCTCCGGCAGAGGTTGGTGAAAAAGATTCCCAGTTTTGTATGATTACTGTAAATCTCTTTATATGTAGATGTGTCTTTTGTCACACTCTAATTCCATTTTGTGGGCTAGTGATGTACAATCCGACTCCCTTGCCCATTCAACTTCTTGAAGGGTTCTCTTAACGAATACCTTGGTACATCTTCTGTTAGCTCCTTGGTTTCTGGCGTCAAAATGTTGAGTTTCAGTTTTAGTGGCATGAAAACGTTTTTTTTTTTTTTTAGTTTTTTCTGAAGGGTAATAACCTTTTTGGTTATAGAATTACGACCTTAAACCTCACACACCACAAAAGTATCCCAGAGCCACTGCTGGATTTAACTTTGACTGTGTGGTGCACTTTGTCGAATTTTCCTCAGGAATTCAATCTAGTATCTACTGTATCTATAATACTATAATTGCTTCCTGCAAGACTTGGCCTGTCGTCGGTAGAACCACTGGAGGGCCCTGCATTATGAAAAAAAATATCATTACTAAGATATACTTTTTCAAAGACGCTTTATTAAAATGAAAAAACAACAGAGTCAAGGTCCTCACCTNCTTTGTCGAATTTTCCTCAGGAATTCAATCTAGTATCTACTGTATCTATAATACTATAATTGCTTCCTGCAAGACTTGGCCTGTCGTCGGTAGAACCACTGGAGGGCCCTGCATTATGAAAAAAAATATCATTACTAAGATATACTTTTTCAAAGACGCTTTACTTAAAATGAAAAAACAAGAGAGTCAAGGTCCTCACCATTTGTTCTTCATCCATCTCGGAACTAATTTAACAAGCAAAGAAAGCTAGTCAGAAAGTAGAATTACCATCTCCTTTGCCAAAACTAAAATGACAGGATTTATGCCAGGAAATGATAATGGATGAAGTTGTCTCTAGCAGATATGCAAATCATTTTGTCGAATAGATCATTGATGTATGATTTATGTGTAAAAAATTGGATAGATCAGTCTAAATCTATGCATATTCATTGATAGGAAGCTATTTAATTGATTGAAGACGCGGTGAAGCCAAATTCAATCAATTGCAGTGTTACTTGTTTAAAATTTTTGCATTGCGTCACTCATGATATCATGCTTAATAGATTCAACAACNGATAATGGATGAAGTTGTCTCTAGCAGATATGCAAATCATTTTGTCGAATAGATCATAGATGTATGATTTATGTGTAAAAAATTGGATAGATCAGTCTAAATCTATGCATATTCATTGATAGGAGGCTATTTAATTGATTGAAGACGCGGTGAAGCCAAATTCAATCAATTGCAGTGTTACTTGTTTAAAATTTTTGCATTGCGTCACTCTTGATATCAAGCTTAATAGATTCAACAATAATGATCATATTTGGAGTTAGTTTAAATAGGTAGTTTTTAAAGGTTTTGAAGTAAAATAAGTTAGGTTCGTTTAGACCTTAGTTTTTTTAACAGTTTATACAATTATTTTTTGAACTCAAAAAGGTTGATTCAAGAATTTGATTTTACGACNTGAAGTAAAATAAGTTAGGTTCGTTTAGACCTTAGTTTTTTTAACAGTTTATACAATAATTTTTTGCACTCAAAAAGGTTGATTCAAGAATTTGATTTTACGAGTTTTTTTTTCGATTTTGATGGAGTTTTGTGAAAGATCTTTCATAATTTTTTAGTTTATTATATTCATAAAATATTATTAGTGACGTAAAATAATTTGAAATTCATATTTTAGAAAATATAATGTATAATCTATACATATATGTAATTATTTATTTTTATTTTGACAAGAAAAAGCTAAAAAGTCATTTCAAACCGATTTTTTTAATTTTGTTTAACTTTTTAAAGGACACCTCAAACGGTTTTGGAAGATTTTTTTTAGTTTTGCCTTTTGACAAAATTTTTCAAATCACAAATTCTCACCTAAAAGAGTCGGTTCTAAATAGGACCAATATTAAATATGCACTAAGCACATACCTATCTCATTAAATTACAAAAAGAAATCTTGGCAAGACCTTCACAATAACATCAAATTTCAAATGTTCATTGTTGCATGACTGAAAGAGAACTGAAGATAGCTGAAAGTCAAGAATGATACAGGCACAGTCTCCCTTAATCACCATCGGGGATATGTTATTGATTTTGCACACCTTGTGCAAGAAAAATTGTCCCTACAAATGCTCCTAACTTTTTCTGACCCAGGAACCATGTAATGGTCCATGGCAAGTTTTTAACCTTTCTAAATCCTACAACCCTACTTCCGGACCCCATATGTGCTACTACCCCAAAACCAATACTTTAACTCAACTTTAGGTATAAATTTTTAAGCTTAATCCTAACTCTAACTCGACCAACACCCAAGATACTCAACTCGAGTACTGTTCGAGTTAATTTCGAACAAACTCGGATTGAATTCGAATTATCTAATTCAGTCTAATTTCAGGTTGAATAATTCAGACCTGAAATCAGTTTGTTGTAAACTATTTTTTTTTTTTGCCCTGTTGTAAACTTGGTACATAATTATATTCACTTGATTCAAAGTAACAACCAATAACTTTAATCAAACAACCATACAACAACAAACGCACACTTCATATGGGGATATCCTCCTTCAATGATTCACTATAGCATAAGGTGGTGCACTAAGCAACTGTAGCTTTTTTCTTGTATGCCATCTGAACTTCGAATAATACAAGTTTTCCCCTTCACTCTTAACGTAACTCTACATATTTATTTAACTTCTCAGTCATTCTTTCTAATGCAAAATTAGCAGTAGAGTAATATTACATGAACTTAAAAATTAGACTTAAAAAGTAAACTTGATAATTATAGCTATTAATTTTATTATGGGTCCCAGTATTTATTACGACTCATTATCTATCCAATAATTATAATTATTAAGTCTATTTTTTAAATTTAATTTTAAATCCATATGACATTATTATAGCAATAATAGAGGCGTGAAGTTGCTTTAAACTAATATAAGAATAGACGCTAATACCAAGAAAGTGACTCTTGAAGTTTGGACAGCGCCGGCCCTATGCACTGGGCCACCCCCCTGGGGCCCAATTTAATACACATATTCGGGGCTCAAAAAATTTTTAGGGTTTCTAATTTTAAGATAATTTTAGAGATATTAAGCCGGAATTCAATAAGAAATCGGTAGCAAATAATGAGCTTGAGTTTAGCCTTAATAGATACGGGTGATAAATAAATGAACTTGACAGGTCATTTAAATAAACAGGTCAACACAAATCCGACTAAACACAAAACAAATTTGTTAAATATAACTTGTATATAATACAAAGTCGACTATACAAAATTATAAATTAAACGGGTATAAATTGAAACAATTCTGATACGACATAATTGAATGAATATCTTTTTTTTTTTTACATTTGTTTTTTTCAATCTTACATATTTTTTATGTAAATATTACAAAGATGAGTTATCTTAACACACAAAATCTTACGTTAAGTGAGGTTTTTGTCATGTCTTATCTTCTTGAAAATTTCAAGCGACTTTAGGATGAGTTCTTTAATTTTTAAACCAATTGAAGAAATATTTTAGAGGATCCTAAAAAAAGTTTCTTATTTAAACATTCTTCGAGGGATATTCTCCAATGATTAAATGCATTTCACTATCACTCTATTGATCACAATCTATTTTGTTCCAATAGTATTGCTCTTATAGAATATATAATGAAAATAAGAAGATGTACAAGAGAGACCTAACGTTTTCTTATACATATTAGAAGTCTAGATATTTGTTCAAAATATTCTAGATACACCATAAATGTATAACATTTAACACTATCTTAGTCATTCGTAATAAGATGAAGAAGGCCTATAAATGGGTGAGGATTTTCATTTGCATCAAAACCTTCAAGCTTTTGTTTTAGTTTTTAAACCTTCAAGGATGCAAAAAAATTGGTTCTGTATGAATCGAGGGATCCGGTTCAAAGGGTATAAAAAGCTTTTTCTATATTCAAGCTTTTTTTATTATAGTTGAACTTGATAGTAAGAGAGAGAAAGGAAGAGAATGATTGAAAAATTATAATAGTAAATTTGAATTTAATTTTTAGAGGGATTATGACTTAATTTTTAGTAGTTTAGTTTTATTGTTAACTTTGTTCCTTTTGAAATTTAGGGTTTTTTAATTCCATGGACTGAATTAATAAGTCGATTTCACTCAAATTGAAATCTTTTATTTGAATTTAAATCTAAATTTTTTATGAGACCTATTTCTTATATATTCAAATTTTTTATTTACGCTATTGCTGCACATCTAAAAATTATGGGACATTCTTCGAAGCGAGGCTAACGCTCAGGTTTTAGTGGCTTAGTGATTGATATTTTCTTGGATTTATCCAGATTCTAATAAAGTAAAAAAAACAGAGGAATGAGGCTACCTAAGTAGGGCTTCGTCAAGAACCTAATAGTTGTAACAATAATGAAGAGGTTATTCCTTCCCATCAATCTGAACATTAAATTCAGTTGTTTCTTAGGTCACGCTGCAAAAGAAAAAAAGAAAGGCAGAAAAATTATTTGAGAAATTCACCCAAGTTAGAAGTTATTCTCTCCGTTCTTAAATATTTATCGTTTTATACAATTTTTTTTATTTTATAATATCTATCATTTAATAACACTAAAGCATAATTAATATTTTTTTCTAAAATTATTTGAGAAATTTACCCTAGTTAAAAGTTACTCCCTCCGTTCCTAAATATCTATCGTTTTACACAATTTTTTTTATTTCATAATATCTGTCGTTTAATGAAACCAAAGTATAATTAATATTTTTACTTCCAAATTTACTCTTAACTTTTCAATACATTAGATTAAGTGGAGGTTAAGTGTCTTTTATATTTATTTCATTCTCAATACGTATTGAATAAGGATATTTTAGTCTTGTAAAATTATTTTTTACTCAAATTAGAGATATTTAATAATTTCTTTAATTCCTGTGTAAAAATCTTAAACGATAGATATTTAGAAACAGATGGAATAGTTTACAACTTTATTGTCACGATGGTTGAATCCAGCTTCTTGTCCTCTTTTTCGCACATAACCAAAATGACAAGATTAGGACATCTTGTTTTCTATACATACAACCACAAATATTATTGAATTTACATACAATACAAATTGACATAAAGAAAAATAAAC